GGCAAAAATAGCCCGATTTTGGCCGCTAGCGGCAAAAATCGCACGGTTTTTGGCCGCTAGCGGCGAAAATCGCGCTATTTTTGGCCAGTAGCGGCGAAAATCGCGATTTTGGCCCGCCAGCTGCGAAAATCGCATGGTTTTTGGCCGGTAGCGGCGAAAATCGCGCGGTTTTTGGCCGGTAGCGGCGAAAATTGCGCTATTTTTGGCCGGTTGCGACGAAAGTCGCGATTTTTGCCCGCCAGCTGCGAAAATCGCATGGTTTTTGGCCTGTAGCGGCGAAAATCGCGCGGTTTTTGGCCGCCAGCTGCAAAAATCGCATAGTTTCTGGTCGCTAGACGCGAAAATCGCGCTCTTTTTGGCCGGTAATGGCAAAAATCGCGATTTTTGCCCGCCAGCGGCGAAAATCGCACGGTTTTTGGCCGCTAGCGGCGAAAATCGCGCTATTTTTGGCCGGTAGCAGCGAAAATCGCGATTTTTGCCCACCAGCTGCAAAAATCGCATAGTTTCTGGTCGCTAGCGGCAAAAATCGCTCTATTTTTGGCCGGTAGCGGCGAAAATCGCCCGATTTTTGGCCGGTAGCGGCAAAAATCGAACGGTTTTTTACCGCTAGCGGCGAAAATCGCGCTATTTTTGGCCGGTAGCGGCGAAAATCGCGATTTTTGCCCGCCAGCTGCGAAAATCGCGTGGTTTTTGGCCGGTAGCGGCGAAAATCGCGCGGTTTTTGGCCGGTAGCGGCGAAATTCGCGCTAATTTTGGCTTGTAGCGGCGAAAATCGCGATTTTGGCCGCCAGCTGCGAAAATCGCATGGTTTTTGGCCAGTAACGGCGAAAATCGAGCGGTTTTTGGAACACAGCTAACGTTCAATGTAACCGCTTCGTTATTTTTGCCTTGTTACAACGTTGTAACAACACTGTAACCGCGTCAGCACATCATTGTAACATTTTCAAATGTCGAATGTTCAGGTGACGTGAGGAGGTAGAGAGCATGGTAACGTGAGGCACTCTTAAGAGTGTATTGTGGTCAAGCTCTCTGATTGTGTGTTTCACCGAGGATCGGCACTTAATTTTAGTGGCATGGTCATGTAATTGTCATGAGAAAATACCAAGTCATTACGACTATAGGATACTTGGTGAGGGATAAGGATTTAGGATGGGCCGGAGGAAAGGGTTGATGCCCAACCACTTGGACGGTTAGAGATTGAACGCCGACCTGCAAGAAACAAAGCCTTTGCTCTACTCTCCAGTCCAAGTGTTTGGGGTTTTAGTTACAAGTCGGGAAGTCAATGTAGCAAGGGGCTGCAGGTGGCTGGTTAAGATTATGTGTGTGTGCTAAGTGGTGGGAATTATAAAAGTGACAGTTATTCTATGTTACTGAGGTGTTACTGTTACTGAGGTGTTACTGTTACTATGTTACTGAGGTGTTACTGTTATTATGTTACTGAGGTGTTACTGTTACTATGTTACTGAGGTGTTACTGTTATTATGTTACTGAGGTGTTACTGTTACTATGTTACTGAGGTGTTACTGTTACTATGTTACTGAGGTGTTACTGTTATTATGTTACTGAGGTGTTACTGTTACTATGTTACTGAGGTGTTACTGTTATTATGTTACTGAGGTGTTACTGTTACTATGTTACTGAGGTGTTACTGTTACTATGTTACTGAGGTGTTACTGTTATTATGTTACTGAGGTGTTACTGTTACTATGTTACTGAGGTGTTACTGTTATTATGTTACTGAGGTGTTACTGTTACTATGTTACTGAGGTGTTACTGTTACTATGTTACTGAGGGTGCATAATTGAATATTCATTACCGACCTGTGTGGTGAGATCAGCATAAGTTTCAACGTGTCATTGATGCAACAGCTGCTCAATTGGTGAATGTTGCCGGTCAAGGGGCGAGGAAGGGAATTATCAGGGGGGAAAGTGCATTACGACTGTATAGCGCTTGGAAAGGGTGAGGTGGGGGGGGGGGGGTAGGATAAGGATTGGGATGGGATGGGAATGGCGTCCAACCACTTTCGACGGTCGGGGATTGAACGCCGATCTGCATGAAGCGAGACCGTCGCTCTACCGTCCAGCTGTGAGCTGAAGCCTACAGTTTCGCATCAGAGATGATTTGATATGTTACTCCAGGGCAGGAAGATGTTCAATAGCTCTAATGAGAGTCTTGAGGCATAAATTTACTATCTTGACTAGAAAGTAAGAATAATGTGCAGAGGGAAGTCACAATACCGTAGTGTATCCAAGAGAAAATATTAGAGCTATGAGATAGGATCGAACAAGTGACCCTGGACTCCCCAGGCACATGCCTCAATGCTTCTTCAGACATACATCACTTTCTTGTGTAGATGCTACCTTCCAAGAGTGTAAAGCCTAATATAATTTAATAAGTTATTATGAGTTACATAATTAAAGTTAGAGAAAGGTAAGCTTGCCCATAAGGAGTAATAGTAAGGAGTAATATGAAGAATAGAGCCCCTGGTTGCGTGTCTATCAATATATATAATGATGCCTGTCTGTTTGTCCAATATGGATGGGTTAGGGTTTGGCTCCTTTACTTCCATTAAAAGGTAGACGGCCCTTATGATGTAACAAGAGAGCAGTACATAGTACATGAACATCATAACAGCATGAACAGGCCACGTGGAGGATGAACAACCCACAGGCGCCAGACAGGCGGCGGCAGACAATGTAAAAGTTACACCTCTGTACAAGTTAGCCATAGAGTCAGGTCAACGGTCATCGAATCACAAAGAGGTCAGAATTGATGCCGTCATGGTAATCTTCAGGGATTAACCCCTAAACAACAAATGCAAAACCCTCATGTTCAGCTGAGGAGCAGGAGATCAGGGGAGTCAGTTGAGTGGGCACAGCCCAGTAGGGAGGTGTGTGTGGACTCTGGGAAAGAACATCATCTCCAGGGAAACTGTGGAACAACATACGAGTAAGTACGGCTCTCTTGTACTAAAGCACCTCATTCAGTACCCTTGGCCTCTAGTAGGGAATATAGTTAGGGAGTGTCTTATTTAATTATTTCTAATAAAGTCAGATATTAAGTGTTATTCAATGTGTATTAATGGTTCCTTGCTTTAGTGATATTGGGCCTACCGTCCCCTTTGCCCTAGTGACCTAGTGCTCTTAATTATTCAGTACTCCTCCCCCCGTTCGTCTTCCGTGTTGAGGTGTTAGTATTGGTGTGTCCCGCCTTATTCTTGTGTACACTATAGTTCCCAAGTGGTCAGGATTATTCGAGTGTCAGGCCAGGATCCTTGTACCGTTCAATTGTCCCCTACACCTGTCCTGGTAGGTTATTCCATCTGCAAGACCTACGACTCTCACTCCGGTCCCCTGTCCGGTAACTCAGGGTGGTGGCAGCGTCACTCGGTAACTCATACGATAGGTTGTGACTACGATTATCTCTATCTTTCTGTTTCACTCGCCCTCACTAGTATCTCACTCTCCCTCGCCCTCACTCGCTCGCGTTCTCCCTCCCTTGCTCTCGTTCTCGCTCTCCTCTCTCTCTCCTCTCGCTCTGCCCCCCTCTTCCTCTCTCTCTCCATCCTCTGTGTACTGGTTTACGGCTTCGTATGACGGCCCGAGTGTTAACATCTTATATGATCGGTATAGCATCTGTTATTACCATAGAAAGAGCGGAGATTGCACGGTTAGCTCAGTGGTAGTAGCGGAGTGCGCGGTCGAGATAGATACAAGGTGAGTTATTACAATTAGGGGCATTACAATGAAGTTAGTGATGTCTCTGACTCAACCCACTACATTTGTTTTATATATATTATAAAATATTATGCACTGATTTGGGCAAAATTTTAAACAAAAATCTACTCATCATTGCTTGCCCATAGTATGGTGAACAAATGTTGAGGTTATGGAAAACTGTCACTCCATAACAAGGTCGACAACATGGCAGTCCAAACTATGTTGCTGGAGTGTTGACATATGTGGATACCACACTACAATGCATGTTCCCAATTATACTTATTATTTATCATAATTTTTCTTTGATTATTTTTTGGTAGAACGATAGTGGGTCGACCCAATCACCAGGTACCTGGTAACTGGGTCAACCCGATCACCATGTCAATTCATCACCAGAATGTATCCTATCGATTTTTTCTTATAATGTGTGATGTTTGGTTTGAGTTAATAATTTAATATTGTTTGTGGAGTGAAGAAGTTTATTTAACTATTTATCACTATTAATTATTTAAGAGTGAAAGTATTCTAGTATAAGACAACAAGTTCTTCTAGCAACTCAAAATGTTCTTTTAATGCCAATATCAAATTACATAAAATATAAATCTGTGTATTTAATATACAGTAATGGTCGGTGAAGCATTTGAGTCTATTGTAGTCATTCAGAAGACATAGTTCTGAAAATTATGTATAATAGCTCCTTAGAAAGTTAGATTTTCTTTTAATTTACCGTTTACATTGGCAAATACAGGCAAAAAATCTATATGCAGTAAAACCAATTGTATTATTTTGATAGAAATCGGTAAACTCGTTCAAAGCACGAACAACATTGTAATTCATGTAACATTTTTACTTCACAGATCTCTCAACAAAGAGTTTATTATAAATGCCTCAGTTTTTCAGCATTTCTTTTGTTTTAAGTAATTGATACAAAAATTCTGTTTTAGCAAATGTATAATTGTATTAACATTTTGGATCTCATGAAGTTGCAAAGAAAAAATGACGATTCATACCAACTCATGATTCTTCATGAAGAGGCACTGATATATGAGAGTACTTTGCTTCAAGTGTAAAATCCATAATGCTCAAAGATGTGTACTGCGGTGTTGTTATGACCCAGTCACAACTGTGATCAGTCAAGCTTTACACTGACCTAAAGTACTTGATCATTAATGCTGAACATATTTAGTGATACATTTGACTCGGAACACACCTGTTGAGTGTAGAACGCCACTATTGTAAGGATTGAGACGAACTGAAGGATTCTGATTAGAAACAGTCAACTTTAGTCTCTTGCAGTTTATTGACAAGTTTTAATGAATGAAAAACAATAAACAAAATTTAGAAAATCCAACGACAATCATTATTTTTAAAAAGTCTAGTGACGATTGTAGATTTTGACTAGCGTTTGTTTGAAGTTGGGAACGTCGTGGAAAATGCGTTCGTCGTCAACACGACGGTCCAGGGGGTAGCCGTGTGGTCGGTGGTCGGGATACACTCCTCGGTAGCCATAGTGGTTGAATTTGGTGTTTGTGTGTAGATCATCTACAGCAGCGTCGGCCTCGCCGTCGGTGACAGCCACCACCAGGTCGAACTCCAAACCATTAGAGTTACCCTTGGGCAGCAGGAACCTGTTGGGCAGTCCAAGGGCACTCTCATACTGATGAAGGTCGAGCTCGCTGCCAGAGGAGAGCGCCTCGTCGGCCTTCTGCATCAGGGTCTGGAAACTGGGCACGTCGGGGACAGTCACTGACGAGTCCTTAGCCTTGCGCACGATGTGGTTCACTCCAGGTCTCACTGTTCGGACATAAGGGTTATATGCATTAGATCTATTGGGATATAAAAGATTTATGTATTAAATTGATAATATTTACATCTGCTTATTTTTAATAGATTATTATTAAAAGTATAGAAATGCTTCTGAGGCGCAATTTTAGGTCAATGAAAACATTTATCTATATATTTTTAAATGTCGCTGGCGACACTTTCACTTGCATATGTTAAAAAAGTTTAGACGTAACTTACATTTCGCCCAGAACCTGTCCAGCTCGATGGCTCTCCAGCGACCTTCGTTGAATGGAAAGACAATACCATTGTTGTCACGGTGGGGCCAGCCGAAGATGCGCACTGTTGCTAACACTTCGTGGTCATTGTTGTTGATAACGTCGATTTTGTAAGAAAAGTCCCTGTGGTTCAGACGTGACACAGTTGTTGATATGTCTACATCATCAATTTCGACCGTGTCGTCAACAGCAGTAAGCAAGCTGTATTCATAATCTTCAAAATACGTTTCAACAGGTCCGTCAATAGCAATATTGTCAATAGCAACACCACTAAACTCTAACTCCTCCTTAGTGTATGGCGTGAGACTATCCTTATGTTCCCTGAATATATTATCCATATATTTGTGCAACCTAAAAAACGCAGGGTCACGGGTGGCAGTTTCAAAGTGTTCCAGGACGCCTGGAGGAAGGTCGTACTTTCCTTGAGGGTCTCCCTGGCGACCAAGCACAATGTGAGCTGTGTTGTGGAGGGCACCGTAGTACTCAGCGTTAGGACTGTACATAGAAGACTCGATAATATCACCTAGAACGTCAATGCCACGTGCGTTATTGATATCAATGAGAGATCCATCCTTGGCAGTGACAAAGCCATGGGCAATGGCGTCACGAACACGACTCTCAAGAATGAGCATGTCGCGAACATGAGCTACACCTTCGACGTCCTGGAAGTGGATATTGTCCGGACGAGAGGGGAAGTAGCCACCATACTTGTAAGTTGCATGAGGAGCGAAACCTTCCTTAATAGGTTTCTCCCAGTGAAGTTCTTCCACTGGACTCAAGTAGTTGGACACCCTTTCGGCGTCGAAGCGGACGGTGAGCTGGTGATGTACCCAGAAGAAGTTCTCGCCCTTGCGGTCCAGATGGTGACCTTCTTTGGCATCGTCCCACCAGAATGGGAACTCCAAATGCCAAATAACGTGGTGGGTGTTCATGCCGATATCTTCACCGAAGTAAGCCACTCGTTGCTCTGGGTTCCTTTTGCTACCAGTAAACTCTGACTTGAATTTACCTGGCGTCTGGGTCATCTTGGCACGGTAAGCTTGTTGGATAATTTCACTGTTAGTGAACAAGTGTGGGGTGACCTCGTAAAGTGGTGGAAGCACAACGTCTTGAGTGAGTGGAGAGTGGGTCACTGCTGCATACAATGCATACACAAACTCTCCTTCATTAATGTGGTTTCTAAAATAAGCAGCATTGCCGACGAATGTGTTCCAGTCCTTGCTGTGTTCCAGGACATCATAGAGCATAAGGGCTTCTTCACGTTGTCGAGTATTGAAGAGGGAGAACCAGTGTTTCTGCTGCAGAAGTCTCCCGTCCTTCAGTTCCTTCACCAGCTTGTGGGCAGCGGCGCCATTGTCTGTATAGTGAGATGGGTCGGCCTCAGGGTCGAAGGTCTCCCCGAGCTGCTTTAGGTTGGCGTCACGAAAAACTTCATAGACCTTAAACAGCAGATAATTTATATCATGCTGTTTCTGTGCTACGGACGCTCCTGGGTGAACAAATTGGTTTGGCATTATTCAACTGATAATTAAGAAGTATGTGTATAAAAATATATTAATATTGGAAATCGCATAAGGTCTATTGATGCATACGTGACAGCTGATGTGTGTTACCATATAAACTGACTCCTATAGGTCTGCCAGTCACATAAATCCTACATATAGAGAAACATGCACACAATGTAGGACTGTCAGTCACCCTAATTTGGATACCAAGCCACATTGGCATAGATGCTAATGAAAAGGCAGACTCACTAACAAAAACTGACACTGCTCTACCTGCTGTACAGGTTAAAATACCTACACGTTTTTTTTACAGATTAAGGAGCAAATCAAGAAGAAAATACTTCCATATATCTAAAGTCGCTCCAGAGACAAAGTAGCGGAAGGAAAATCCACTGTGATGTGGTACGAACAAGCCACTGGGAACTCCTCTTTCAAACCAGGCAGAAAGATATCCAGAGGCATTGCAGTAGCCATACACAGACTCTGACTAGGTTACAAGTGCTGCAGGGAGATAATAAACCCAATAGTTAAAGAGTATCATATCTTTGGAACAGATGCAGAGGTGCTACTGTTACACTGCTTACTGGAATGGGAAGCAACTAAAGCCCCGTGCATCAAACTCAACATTCATCCAACAAGAGCAGCTGCATTAGATGCAAATTCTACAGCGACTACAATGGTTAGAAAAGCAATTGAAGAATGGGACACACTAGTGAACACTCTGCATCTATAGCCGCCACCAATATAATGCTATTAAAATATAACTAAAACCAGTTCGCAAAAATAGAAGCGGAAAAGAAACAGGAGAAAAGGAGGAAACCCCAATTCCATTTAAAACTTTGACCGAAATATTACAGTAACAAGGTTATCACGAATAACCGTACTCAATTACGGGATCACTATCGCTCGTGCTACATGGATATTTCGTTCTGAGTAGCTAAATCTAAAATAACAAAAACAGATCTGCTATGTTACCCGGTAGTTTTGTTTATAATATGTCGAGTTCTCTTTTTAACTGTAATATCTATCATCCAATTGTTTTTTACCCATTCTTAAATGTTTATTCTACAGGAATTTTTCCCAGTATTCTTCGCCTGTCTAGAGAATGAAAAATCGATTTTCCTGAATCTCGTAAGTGGCATTTCTAATTCCTGGAATTAACCTTGTCATCTTTATCTGAACATGTTTATGTGAATTTATGTTCAGTTTATAGCACGATGAATAAATTTGATCTACATAATCAAAATAGGGCACAGTAATATTAATTATACTTTTTCTGACAATTAGTATAATTATAAATCGACCAGATCACTACTGCATTCAGTCTCTCCTCCTCCCAGTTATTCAGTTCCCAAATCACGTACTGACCTTCAGTAGCAGCGGCGGCGGCCGCCAGGAGAGCACACAGCACCAGGACCTTCATGGTGTCGATGGTGAGTGTTCTCCCGTCCTGCCTGGCTTTATATACCAGCTCCCAGAGGCTCCAATTCACACATGATAACCACAAAACTGCAAATGTGCCAATTCTCCACGACTGTACATCCGAGATAAGATGGCATCATCGCTTTGGCCAGTAGGCTTTCGCCTTCAAATCATGTCTTCCAAGTCTAAGATTATGTTCTCCTTAATAGGCCTACTATATACTGATAACGACACAGGTTTATATTCAGATATTTTGAAGGTAACAAATTTCTACAGCTCGATACAGTTCACAGCCATTCAAATTTGACTGCAAAACAAAATGAGTAACATATACATATATATTACAATGAGATAACCCACATTATATATATATATATATATATATATATATATATATATGTGTGTGTGTGTGTGTGTGTGTGTGTGTGTGTGTGTGTGTGTGTGTGTGTGTGTGTGTGTGTGTGTGTGTGTGTGTGTGTGTGTGTGTGTGTGTGTGTGTGTGTGTGTACAGACCGTGCGTCTGTGACTTGTTTGATGACTAAGGAGAAGAGGAGAGGGGAAAGGAGATCCCCTTTTTTGTACTCCTTCTCGCGAGTCAATTTCATGTTCATCAAAAAGTAGCTTTAGATCCGTATTGTAGCATGAATGTACTAAAGGGTAGAGGGAAGGGAAATGGCAATGAACCGCAAGGAGTACAACATCCCTCCGCACTAAATTGAAGGCATTTTCGAAATCCAGCTTGATCAGGACCTTTTCATCTGTGATGTTAGCAATAAAAGCTCGAGTTGCGTGAGCTGCCGCCTCTCACCCTTGTGGAATGCCAAACCCGAGCTGTTTTGGCTTTAGCATGTTGGCCGCTGCCTCGCTAACTGTTCTTGCAGTAGCCATTGTGACGAGACGCTGGAGGGAATTGCCCACAGTTATTGGTCTGATCTCTCAATCCTTTTTCTTCAGAGCACAGAGAGATGCTACTGAAAAGTCTCATGGCCTCTTGTACGTTGCCAGCTAGACATGTGTTGGTGAATCTGGTTAGTTCCCCCAGAAGGGCCTGTGCAATGTCGCCCAGTGCAGGGTTGAACATTAGTTTGATGTGGTTGGGTTTTAGTCCTGTGAACCCACCTGTTGATCCTGATTCCATTTACTTCATTATTTACTCCCCTTCACTGCCTTTCGTACCCTTCCTTGTCATCCCTACCCTTCAACACTTACCATACCCATCACCACCTTCCCTCTCGTTATCTATCATCCCAGCCCCCCTTCACCACCTTATCACTCTTTCACCGTGTCTACTCTTCACCACTTTCCCTTCATCCCTTTTCCCTTCATCTTCATTGTATGCTTTTCCTTGTCAATAAATAAACTACATAAGACAAACTAATCCGGGAGTGCCCGGGATAATCTGTCTCTTCACGCGTATTCCCTCCAAACCTCCTGTTCCCTTTCTCTCTTCTCCCCTTCTTCCACTCTGGCTCTAATCTCTCTACCTTCTCCCCTCCAAATTCGATCAGACATTCCATTTATATATGTATATAAAAGGAGTACCCGGCTGCACCCGGGTCTCTTCGCAACCTCTGTCCCCTTCCCTTCCACCATCTTCCCCTTATATCAGCCCTTGGCCGCCCCCTCGGACGGAGGGGAGCCAAGGAAGGAGCCTCCTTCTTTCAAGCACCCACCCCTCACTCTTCCTTCTCTTTCCTTCTCTGAAAATTTATTAAGAGGCACTGAAATAACTATTGGTTTCTCACAAAATATATTTCAATATCCAAAAACTCTAGGTAAATTCTACCAAATGTTTCACAATTGGCTCCATGAAATTGCATGGGGTGTTCTCTATAAATGCAATATTTTTTTAACATTTATCATAGGCAGATGATGAGTCATAATAACGTGGCTGAAGATATGACGATTAAGCCACACAGTAGAAGATGAGGAGACGATGACGCTTCTGTCCGTCCTGGACCATTATCAAGTTGATTGTATCGTCATCTCCTCATCTTCTGGTGTGAGGTTTAGTTTTTAATTTTACTTCGGCCTGCCCCGAACAGCCTATGTCGGTCTCAAACCCTAGACTAATCCCCTTGCAAAGTTGGGTGCGGCTAGCTCTAAGCGTCTGGCCTCCAATTTTGGCTCAGACAGACAGACAGAGAGACATTATCTCTCTCTTTCTCTCTCTCTCTCTCTCTCTCTCTCTCTCTCTCTCTCTCTCTCTCTCTCTCTCTCTCTCTCTCTCTCTCTCTCTCTCTCTCTCTCTCTCTCTCTCTCTCTCTTATTGTATATACTGACTCATTTTTTCATTGGTTGATAAAGTGAGTCATTGTCTCTTTGACTAATTGCCTTATTCATTATTTCATCATTAAAATATATTATATGACTAATTATTTTGTTCATAAATTAAATATTTATTTATTTGACTGAAGTAATAATATGTTCATTGTTTGATTCACTATTGTGCCATTGAATTTGCAATGAATATTCTTGCAAAAGTTTCGTCAACCTGGAAATTTGAGTGGGCCATAAAATTTCATTGATGTTTTGAAATGAAATTAGAGAGGGGCCGTAAAATTTCATTGACGTTGTGAAACGAGCAGGACGGGTCTGCAGGCCAGCGCCCGGCGGGTGTTATTGCATGATTGACTATAGTGCTGACCGTCTGCCTCCCTGAAAAGGTACGATGCTGTGAGTGTCCAGTTGGAAGCAGGATGATAGAGAAAGACAGGTCCTGGTCAATAACGGATATTTTAATGGTTACGTCGAAGAGATCATTAACTGGACGGTGCGCCGTCATATATAACCTCGGACTAGTGTTATAATTTTCTACCTGAACCTCTTTCCCACGGCCCACATAACGGAGGAAACAGTCCTGCTATTATTGTATATTATTAAACTCAATCTTCTGGTTGGTGTCTATAGGGGATATGTTTCTGTCAATAATGTATAAGAGCAAGAAGACCGACAACTTGCTAGGGATAAACTCTACTGACACCAAACAAAACACCTTGAAAAAGACACATGTTTCCTATGCCTTCACATGCCCACTTGGGGGTTGTCAACCTCAACGCTCTCAGTACTCATGCAAGACAACAACAGCTCTTTCAAGGCACCTGACAACACACAAACAGCGAGACCCATCAACGGACGCATAGCCTCTGCACTCAACCAGAACATCGCCAGAGATATTATGTCAAACAACTACAAATTTGATAAAAAAAAACACAGGAGCTGTGATAAGCGTTCGAACCCAGATGCACACTCCAAATGACTACGCCACGACTTGGTCAAAATAATTCCAACCAGGGGTACTACTGCACCCTCTAGGATTCCTTCGATGTTACAATTCTTTGACCATGTCGTGGCGTAGTCGTTTAGAGCGTGTATCTGTGAATACCCAGCGCATAGGTTCGAATCCTCATCACGGCTCCTGTGGATTTTCTCATTGATATCACGATAATGTGATTTATCTGTGTAACTCGACAATTACTGACAGGTACAATGACAATAGATGACGGAACATCAGGGGAGGATCATCAGACTAAGTCAGCCAACCATCAACCACCAGCTAACACAAGGTGACACTCAGACGTCGTTGAGACCAAGATGAAACCTCGCACGTACGGCCCAAAGCCATCACTGAAACACAGGAGATCAGTAAGCTGCCACCAAGCTTTCGGGTCACTGTGAGGTGGTTCACTTCGCCGTCGGATGCCTATGCTATAAGAGACAATCTCTCTGCCAGTCTCTCTCTCTCTCTCTCTCTCTCTCTCTCTCTCTCTCTCTCTCTCTCTCTCGCTCTCTCTCTCTCTCTCTCTCTCTCTCTCTCTCTCTCTCTCTCTCTCTCTCTCTCTCTCTCTCTCTCTCTCTCTCTCTCTCTCTCTCTCTCTCTCTCTCTCTCTCTCTCTCTTCTCTCTCTCTCTCTCTCTCTCTTTCTCTCTGACTCTGGAAACAGTCTCTTTCTGGATCTGGAAGTTGAATGTATGGAACAAAAATGTTTTAATACGTTTCGCATCATCTTCAATCATCGACACGACGTAATAACCTTTTCCATGTAGATGGCCGACGTGCGCGTCTGTGTCACACGCTTTCAACATAGTCCAGTTGTCTGCTGGTGAATTGCTAGCCATTCCACAACCGCAAGACATTCATTTGTTTTTAGTTAATTCTTCTTCTTCATCAAGAGAGTGTACATTTTCAAGTTTTTCTTAATCTACTCTTCATGTTGTTACACAAATTTAAAAACAACTATTTTGTTATTTTATTTGTTCCCTGTGGAACCAGTAGTAAATCTGTGAAAACACCATGAAGGCCAATTGTACTATTGGCAGCTCAACATCAGTCATGTACACCATTGTCGCTCCTCTGATGGTTAGGGCGTGACGAAGGTGCGGCGGGACACGGAGAGTGGCTGACGGAGGTGTGGCGCCTGAGAGAGTCGGCCCTGGAGTGCTGATATCTCCAGATACCACGCCTAGAACCACGAAGGAAGGGAGGAGACCCTAGGGGTTGTTGCTATGTGTGTGTGACCAGGCACGTCCCCAATCAGCTATCACGTGTTAAATGAGTCGTCTTGTCAACAGACTACTTCACTCACATATCTCGTATGTGCTCCTGAGTGGGGCCACTCACGAGTCACTGTCTTCACTCATAGCAACAACAATTCTCACTAGTTGTTCCCATGTATGGTGTTCTCTGCTATAGAAGTTAAGGTAATATTAAATTAGGACTATTGTAGTGTATATTGATAGCATTAATTGAAGCCTTTTATATATATATATATATATATATATATATATATATATATATATATATATATATATATATATATATATATATATATATATATATATATATATATTATTAAATATGACCGAAAAAGTAAGATTAATATTTCTAACACGAATTTTCTCGATCTTTCTTACGTTTCTTTTCACTGTTGATGGTAATTCAAAGATCAATTCTCCAAAATTCATTTTTATTTCTAGTCTGACGCGACATTTGAGCGCGTTTCGTAAAACTTATTACATTTTCAAAGACTTTAGTTTACAAACACACAACTGAAACTGAATAGAGTTTACACATCTTCGA